TCTATCACTGAATCCTGGCTCCATTCTTTACAGCTGTCCTATAAAAACTCAGTCTAATTTGAAAGTCCCCAGACAACCTGCTGTCATTACTAGCCTTATGACACCTGATAAAATTTTTAAATGAATGCTTGTTAAAGATAATGCCATATATAGTCTGTATTTTTGTCACACTTTAAAAAAAACACATATTTGATGCATTTGCCTGAAAACAGGAACTTTTTCAGCTTCAGTGCTGATTCCCCACCTCTGCTTGTGACATCATATTTGGTTGCTAGGGAGACTACTACTCTTGCTTCTAAATAAATCATATTTCTAAGTTCTACAAAGGGGCATCATCAGCTCATTGCCCTGTAGGAATAATTGCTCTCTAAAGTCCCTCCTGCCCCCCATTTTCCTGCAGCACACCTGTTTAGGATGGTTACCCTGCAACTCACCATCACTCTCTTTGCCCAGCTGTTCCATAAGCTTTATTAAAAAGGAAACAATAATGTACTTACACTAGTGGGGTATAAAAGTGGCAGAGGAAGCAGCAGAAGTGGAATGAGCACAACCAGCAGCAGGTTTCTGGCCCTGAGGAGCTCCTTCACCAGTGCCATAATGCTTCACTTCCTGGTGGCTCTCCTCCTTGGATTTGTCCTTGTTTTCCTCAGATGTTTCTACTTCAGCTCCAGGTCCTTCTTCAGCTTTTCCCTGATGTCTCCGAAAGGGTTCTGACTGTACTGTGTCAACTCCTTTCCCCACCTTCCTGCCCCTAAAATTTCTTTGTTAATATATTTATTCTTTTTTTTCTGTTATATTTTAAAGAAACACTATCAAATTTGCTAACCTTTTTATCAGGTTTATGTAGGACTTACTAGCATATCCTTATGATTGTCACACCATAACCTACAGAGGTTTGCAAGCTGGAACATAGTGGTCTTTTTCGGTATTGGTGTTTTTATTCAGAATCAGGGAAGTTGCTGCATTGCCTTCTCATCCCTGTTTTATAAAGCCTCTGTTCCTTCCATCATCTGGTTTTCAGTGGTGTAAGTCTTGCTTTTGGTAAACCAAATCTGATACCTTCATAGCCACCCACAGTATGCTCTAAAGCCTCTCTTCAGTAATACTATAGCCTGAGTTTTCCAACACTGGATTTCTTTTCTTCCTGGGAAATTGTTAGTAGCAACAGTTTACAGTTTAAATTACTGAAGGAAAGATGTAGTAGTCTTTCTTAAAGTCTTTCTGCTTTTAATGATGTGCTTTGTTCAGATTTCTTCTTTATAATTTTCTTTTTGACTTTGAATTTACCTTTCCCCTACTTTTTCTTCAGCCTGGAATTCGCAGGGCAGCAGTTCTTGAAAAGATTATCCTCAGTCTCAAGATAAAAAAAAACTTGTTAAAAAGGCTCGCCCAACTATAATTCGCCAGTAAGGAGGATGGAAAATGGTAGAGCCTCCGCCCACCATCCAAAAGCCAATCAGGATGCTTGAGAAGACAAACAACCTCCTCTCACAAAGAAAGGCCTTTTTTTAGTTGCTGAACAGTGTGATTATTTCAAGGCCTAGGACCTGCTGATAAAAAAACAAACATTGTTTTCTGTAGAACATACTTTCTCTTTCATGATCATTGTTGCTTCATCATGGGGGCTATTAATTTATAAGGGATGTGCTGCAATCTGTGCCACACTAACATCAGCCAGACTCCATGGAAATTAGATGCAAATTCAGAACCTAATGCTCCCCAGCCACAGGGTTCTAATGGCTTAGCATCAGGAGCACCTGTTAGGCTACAGATATTCAGGCCTGTCTGTAAAGCCCTATACTCTAAGAATTTAGGTGTATTCTTATCACTTGGCTAGTTATAGAGATATAAAAGAAAGAATCAAAATCACTGTCTGCTGGTGTAAGAGCCTTCTTTTACTGTGACAGTCTGAGGCCTGTTGTTAGGCTAAGGCCTTTGGCTAAACAGCAGAGTCAGCCATAAACTGGGAAGCGACTAGTTACATCCTCACATTCCAAACTAGTCACATTGAAATAAGGTGCTATTGGGCTGTTAGGAACACAATCCTGTCCTGATAGTGCCTATCACCTCCAGAGAAAGGGAAGTGCCTAGAAAATGTAAAAGGAAACTTAGTTTGATAGCATCATGTCTGGCAAGAACTCACTTACCAATAGCTGGGATGTGAAATCCTCATTTCTGTGTTTGTTCTGTCACTGTAGTCCCCATTTCCCTATTGTTTGTCTGCATAATCTCTGTCTGGTTCTGTGATTGTTCCTGTCTGCTGTATAATTAATTTTTCTGGGTGTAAACTAATTAAGGTGGTGGGATATAATTGGTTAAATAATCATGTTACAATATGTTAGGATTGGTTAGTTAAATTTCAGTAAAATGATAGGTTAAGGTATAGCTAAGCAGAACTCAAGTTTTACTATATCGTCTGCAATCAATCAGGAAGTGAGTGGGGGGGTGGGAAATGGGAACAGAGAATGGGGGCGGGGAAATTGGAATCATGTTTTGCTAAGGGGGGCATGGGAACAGGGACACAGGTAAGGCTCTGTGGTGTCAGAGCTGGGAAGGGGGACACTAAGGAAGAAAACTGGAATCATGCTTGCTGGAAGTTCACCCCAATAAACATCGAATTGTTTGGACTTTGGGTATTGTTGCTCTCTGTTCATGCGAGAAGGATCAGGGAAGTAAGTGGGTGAAGGAATAAGCCCCCTAACAGCACCTCTATTAGCTCATCCTTTTAGCGTTGAGCTTGATATCATTACTGAGGAATGGGCTGACAGTACTTGAAATGTAAGAGGCATGTTGAATCCACTGGCCTGCTGCATCCATAGGCTGCAGGGATCCATTAGGGTGTACATCTCAAGCATCCAGAATTTCCTGGGGAACCACACAGTAGATACAGGTTTTTTGCGGGGGTCATGTTCCAAAACAGGTTCAAATCATCCAACATCTGCTCCATCCACCCTGGACACCTGTCAGTCCTGCTGACAGCCCGAGAAAAAGCTTTGCTGTACAGGCTGAGCCCAGACAGCTGTGTGTGCACCTCGACTGGTGGCTGCAGCAGGGCTGGCTGGGTGTCAGCACCTGCTCACAGGCCAAAGGGCTGGCTCAGCCCAACCAATAGCAAAGAAAAATTATTCCTCCTCCTGTGCTCTCCCATTACCACCCATAGGCTTGGAATTACTCATTTCCCCACAGCTGCAGTCCCCTACCACTAATGTCTGAGAGGCTAGTGAATAAGGGAATTGGAGCTGAAGGATAGAGATGGGGAAAGTGGCAGCAATGAAGAGAGATGGACTCATGAAAGGAGACGGGAGGCAAAGAAAGGATATTTGGGTGTAAGAGGAAAAAATGAAGTCTGTCCCTTTGCCCCTCTTTGAGGTCATTATTATCCCTTATTGACCCCACACTGTAGAACTGGGAATCTGAGAGCTATGCACAGTCTGGTCAAGAATTAAAAACACAGGGTCATGTTCTCCATTGCCTTGCACCTTGTCAACGATACCTATGCAAAGTGGATGTAAAAAGCCACCATTCTGACATGGCAGAAGGTAAGCGACTGCACAAAATGCAGGACAGTGGAGAATATGGCCTACAGAAGCAGTCTTCTGGGGGGTAAATCCAGAATTATAAGTGATGCTGCAGTGAAATATTCACTTCTTGCTGCTGTGGCCCATGTGCTAAGGAGGAGACATCTGAAGTTGCCATAAGTGTTTTTTAATTCCACTGGACCATGAAGCTACCACAAAGGAGCAGTGTTGCAATCCATGACAGTTTGTTTTTGTATGACTGAGGGTATGGCATAGAACTATCTTAAGGACAATGGGTCTTTGTTGCACTAGAGAAGCAATGAGTTTTGTGAAAGTCACAGTCAGTGGGTATGAGATTGAGGTAGGGAGAGCCAAAAAATTCCAGGCTTTAACCAAAGAGCTCGGGAATAAAGATGACAATAGTGCTTACTTCTCTCCCTGGAAGATCAGACAATCTAGGAGAGATACTGTGCTGGGAGGGTTCTCCTGAGTCAGTGCTCCACTGCACAGAGCTCCATGCCCTGCCCTCTCTCCTAGCTGAAGGAAACTCTTCTTCTTATCTCTTACCTCCCTCCTTCCAAAACGAGGGACCATATCCCCTTCTCTGTTCTACCCTGGCTCCTATGCATAGCTCTGTATCCTCTGCCTGGAGGAAGGAGAGAGACCCCATGGGACTATTGATCCATTTGCTCAGTGCTTTCCCCTTTGCCAGAGTGGGGAGTGCCTCTGCACGGCCAGAGAACTGTGAGTGCCAAATGTCTTGCACTGAACAATAGGGTCTTTGATGCCAACAGGCCACAAACATCCATTTTCGGTGAAATATTGTGGACTGCTGAAAACTTGTGTGGCCAATCACTTGATTATTCTTAATGTAAGGGGAAAGAGATCCAGCCACCAGAATTATCCTGATGTCCTGGCAGTGTGGTTATCAAAGCTGGTTGAAACATTTCCCACAGAGTAATTTTCCATCAGAAAATGCAGTTTGATTGAAATCAAAACATTTGGTCGAAACGTGTCGATTTCAACAACATTTTTTGATGGAAGAACATTGAGATGATTCATTTCATTTTGGTAATGTTGAAATGTTTAGTTTCAATAAGGCAAAAACAGTTTTGTTTCATTTTTTGCTATTACATTAATTTTAATATTTTATATCAATATATTATATTTAATATTTTATAATACAATGATGCAACATGAAAATGAAATATTGTTTACCTTTTTGAAACAATTAAAAATGAAAATGAGTTTCAAAGTGTTGACATTTCCTGTTGAACAAAAATCCCGTTTCCTGCCCATCTCTAATAGTTATGCTTTGTGGGGATGGAGCTCCACAGATTGAAAGATATCCAGGGACTGAGAGCATGCTGCAGGGTAGTTAAATAGCAAATCAGCTCCTGAAATAAAGGCATGTTACATCTGCAAGTTGCCACATATCCTCAGTGGAGTTACTTCCTTTAACAAATACACCAAACAGTCAAATAGTTCTCGGTTATAGTTTTATTATTTCATTAATGATTCTGTATTAAATAAACTTGGGCAATCTGAGTGACACAATAGTATTTCTCTTTTGTTACATTATCCACAGAAACTGGGCCAAAAGGGAGGAGAAAACAAACTTTAGAAGACTTAATTTAACAGTGAAGAAATAAAGATAATCTGTAAGGTACAGTAATCCACGGGGAATGGTAGGATGTTCTGAGCAATGTTTGTACAGATAATTTTCTGAGGGGCTTATGATGCTCACTGGCAGATGAACCTTGTGTGCATTATAATATCACCTGATGTGAGGGAGACCTCTCTGTGTAGTCAATTATACTTAAAACTTACTGCCTCAGTCCTGGTTGTTGTCACAGTAGGGAAGAACCACTGGACTATGGAGGGAGCTCCTGAATGCTCTAGTTCCAGTCTCTCCCAGCAGATGTCACTCTAGGAAATGGAATAGGAGCACAGAGTAAAAACAGGGTGATCACTCATGGTAATTACCCTCCGTGAGCAAATTAATTATACAACAGGGTAATTTTAAAAAGGAAAAAAAACGATGGTTTGTGTTTGCTTTTAAGAAATAAGGCATATATGGGCGCTCCCCTCTACTCCCATTCCATGCCGCTCTGGAAAAAAAGAGTAATCCACAAGTTTGTGAAATAGGTGAGGGTGGTTTCCCAGAACGGTGCAGAAGAGACATTACATGTGGGACATCTGCTGGCCTACTTGTGGTGGTGGGAGTTTGGGAAAGGGCATTCTGGAAGACTGACATCCTTTTTGGGGAAGCGTTAATTAATAAAGGTTGTAGCATATGGCAGTTTGGCTAGCAATGAGTTGCATTGCTCCGGGCACAGGAGTGGAAGGTATGTATTGCTTTTCATTTGGAAAGTTTCTGTTAGATGTGTTAAGTGTAGGCCAGCTGTGGTGTTTTTGTGTCTAAATACTCTTTCACACACAAATACAATTAGCTACACCTGTTGTTAAACATGCCTCACACTTTCCATTATAAAACCCTATTTTCAGTTGTTTATAACTTTGCAAAACTCTAAACAGCACCAGCAGGTGAAGGTCCCACAGTGGCCATACACCAGCTGAGGACTGCCAGAGCATATTGTCCTCTGATAACTCCCCCTGCTTGCCCTAGACTGTCCCCAACACCCTGTCTGCAGTGGAAGCTGCACAGAGGGAAGTGTAGGAGGTGGCTCTGCTGGCTCCACATTTAATGGGAAATCATCCACCTAGTGGAATATCCCCACAATAAGGGACTTGCAGGAGATTTCTGCTCTTTTTTGTAAGGCCTGAGTGATACAAAAGGAGCAGGGTGGGACACAGAGTCTGGCCCTTAAAATCCAAACTATTTCCCTTGCCGGTTTTAGTTTGGGCCTGTCTCTATTTATAAAGTTTAGAAAATTAAGTAAAGTGGATGATTAAAGAGAGAAAGACTGAGTGTAGTGTGTGAGAGTAAGTGAGAGAGGGCACAGGTGCAAATATTAAGGGGGTAACAGCTTTTTAGAAGTGCTCAGAAACTATAGTGAGACATGTTAGAAATACCTAACATAGGTAGATAAACAGCATTAGTATAACCTGTTTTAAACCTTAAGACATTGTCACTAGAACAGGTTGAACTGTTCATTGCAAATAATTTATCTGATGAATACCTTTCCTCTGCCCATGAATTATCCATAAAAGTCTTGATTTTTACACCCTTCACAAAGTTCAGGGATGTTCTGAACCGGGAGATTGGTTCAGCCACTTCGAGTTATAGGGACAAGCTGAAAAGTGTAATTGTTACATTAATCTAGGCTCTGATCCTGCTGTTGACACCACATGGACAGATAGTTGCAGGCTCAGAGCCATGTGCAAATAATGGAAGGACCTTTATAGACTGGCTGTGAGAGCTCTTCTGGGGAGAATGCACACACAAATAACGGTGTGTCCTTCCACAAACAAATATTCTTGTGAATAAAAACTGGCTCAACCCAATGTATGTGAACGAGAGATTAAAATAGGTTGCCAATACCTGGGAAGCGAGTCAGTTAGTTTGAGTTACAAGAATATTGCTGATTTTACTCTTCCCATAGTCTCCAAGCTCTAATTGCCAGGAAGCGTCTTCATTTTATAGTGAGCTTGTGTCTCACTCTCTCTCTTTTTTTACACCCCATTAGGTGGCAGCAAAACTCCTATCTTTTTTCTAGCCAGGAAGGTAGGATTCCTCAGCACACTCTCCTTCTGAGCTTGCTTTGCAAACTAGTTAGCAGAGTAAACTCCCCTCCACCCCCAAGACAGCTCAGGCCCAAATTATCCCAGACATAAAGCCATTAACTTTGTTGATATTACACCAGGGATGGACTTGTTTAATGGGACTTTGAAATATCTACTACTTTCCAAAACAGGAAATGGGTTTCTAAACCTTCACCCAAAACTTGCCAGATGAGCGTGCCCTTCCTCCATCCTTTGGGAATAACTTTAAAAATATATATATTCCCTTCACCCTCAGTAACAGAACATTCTTCTTTGCCCACGTGAGAATGGATGCCAGGGACTGAAGCAGACAAGATGTTTTTCCAGTTAAACATGTTTCTATAACAATATCTCACTAGGGGGAGCTAGAGAATAAAGAATCCTTAACTTAAATCCTTAAATTTGTTAGTCTCTAAGGTGCCACAAGTACTCCTTTTCTTTTTATGGATACAGACTAACACGGCTGCTACTCTGAAACCTTAACTATGCGTAGACTTAAATTGTTTACAGAATAAAGTGGTGGACATGCTATGTGTCCCCTTATCAGCAGAGCTTGTTGCATTCTTGGTGTATAAACTCCTTCAGTGCAATGGCTTTTTGCTGTATGAGAACATCAAGTCATGCTTCAGGGCCTTGTAGAGACTGATGAAGGATTCGGCCCAAGAGTTCTTCTGGTGCTTCCAAGATCGAGCTGCCCTGTAGGCTGTGTAGACCATGGTCAAGACTGTTCTTTCAAAATCTTCTTTCTTTAGTTCCCTCGGGTAGTCAGACAGCCTGGCACTCAGCCGACGAATCTCTGTGATGCTTTTGGGGATAATGTCATTGCAGACAATGTCAAATTCTTTGGCCTTCCTCAACGAAGCCAGCTCCTCATCTTTAATGGAGATCCTCAGACCTTTGTCAATTTCAATCTCAGCTAAAAGAAACTGGTACAAAATCAGAACACAGAAAGCTATTTATCCTCTGAGAGTCTATATATAGAGTAAACATTAATTTAGAGCTTGTTCTTATTTCTTTTCTTTGGTAAAATGTAAGCAAAGAGCTAAGCCAGGATAGAGTAAAAAGACACTGTTCAAGTTGCCCTCTAAAATTCCACCACTGCACCTTAATTCCTGCCCTTCCAGTTCTGGGCCCACTACACTGCCTTACCAACACATATTAATACTGGCCTACGATACCCTTCCTTCTATAGTTCAGGATCTTATCTAGTCAGGCTGAACTGTGGCAAATCATGCAGTGGCTTTGTAATCTATACTAGGGTCAAAGCAACAGAATCAATTTCAAATGTGACCCGAACAGAGGATTTGAGCCTGCTCTGTACAGGTGAAATAGTCATGCTGTCCTGGGAGATTTGTTTTTCATTTTGATTCCTTGGCACTGCCAGGCATGGTGCTGTGCTACTAAGCATTGATTCGTTTGGCACTGATGCTTTGGCTCAAGGAATCAAAATGGCACTATATCGTTATCAGTTAGGGGGCAGAGAATGGGGTATGTTCAGTGGGGGCATTGGCTCTGGATCTTGCCTTCCCTGTTGGTCCAACAGAAGTCACATCTACTGAACTCCAGGTGCCAATGTGAGGCTTACCTATGGGCTGAGGGGACTTAAATTCTTGGGAAGTTTTGTTTGTTTGTTTTAAATCAGGAGTTCACTTTGAATTGAGAGTTTCTCAAATATAGGTATATTTTAATTTGTTGAATGTACATGTACCTAGAATCTGAAATAGAGATATTTTATACTTTAAAAAGTATATACGTCTCCAGTCTCTCTCCGTTTGGTACCAACAGTGGGCTACTAACCGTAAGAGACTGCACATGGTCAGTAATTCAGGTTTGAGGCTGGGGCAGAGCTCAGAGATAGGGTGAAATGGGGAGGCTGTGATGAATGGGAAACAATGACACTATTCCAATATAGAGACTGAAGGGTGCCCATTGCCTCCATATACTGAACCTCAAAAAGCATGTTCACATCGTCCAGCGAGTTCTGCAGCACCGGGTTCACGAGGGCTGATGATGACCATCTCTTAAACCGCTGAGCAGATGGGAAAAGCATGGCTGGAAAAAAAATCAACGGGAAGAGAGATTTAAGCGAGTAGCACACACTAAGGGAGCCAAGGACATTTCAGTATCAGCTTTAACCAAAGTACAGTCTGTTGCAGAAAATATATTGTAGGGAACAATTTTCTACTGGGCAAAGAAATTGACTACTTGGGTTGTAAGCTTTTATTTCGAGTACAAGCTCTTTGGGGTAGGGGCCATCTTGTTGTTCTGTGTCTGTACAGTGCAACCACAATGGCATCCTGAGTCCAAGACTGGGGCTCCTAAGCACTGTGACAATACAACTACAAATAATATGACCTAGACGTTTTCTCTCTGATTCAGGATCAGAAAGGAGCCTCAGTTTGGGAATCTAATACTGTCACAGGGAAAGGACACGTCACCAGTGGTGAGCTGGAGCCGGTTCGCACTGGTTCACGCGAACCAGTTGTTAAATTCTGAAGCTGTTTTAGAACCGGTTGTTAACCCGCTTCCCTGCAGGGGGCGCTGAGCCTTTGATGGGCTCTGGCCGAGAAGTGATGTAATTCCTCCTCCGGCCGCCGGGGGCGCTGCGCTGCGGGAGCCATGTGGGCTGCCGCATGGCCCTGGGCACGAGCCCTGGTGCTGCTGCTCCCCCGACCCCTGGCCCTGGGGCTCCCGCTGCTGCCTGGTGGGTCCCCGGCTGCTCTGCTGGGCCTAGGCTGCGTCCTGCTGCTCCGAGCCGCTCTCCCCGTGAGCACCCAGCACCCTGCCTGCACCAGCCCCTGTCTCCAGCCACCCCCCGTCTCCAGCCACCCCTACACTCCGTGCCTGCAGCCAGCTCCTGCCTCACGCACCCCCTGCCCTGCCCGCAGCCAGCCCCTGTCTCCAGCCACCCCCGCCCTGCCCGCACCAGTCCCTACTGCACCCTCTGCCCTGCCTGCAGCCAGCCCGTCTCCAGCCACCCCCTGCCCTGCCTGCAGCCAGCCCCTGTCTCCAGCCACCCCTGCACCCCCTGCCCGCAACCAGCCCGTCTCCAGCCACCCCCGCACCCATTGCCCGCAGTCAGCCCTGCACCCCCCTGCCCTGCCTGCAGCCAGCCCCTGCCTCCAGTCAGCCTCTGCCCTGTCTCCAGCCAGCCCCACACCCCCTTGCCTCCAGCCAACCCTGCACCCTCCTGTCTCCAGCCAGCTCCGCATCCCCTGCCCTGCCCACAGCCAGCCCTGCACCCCCTGCCTCCAGCTAGCCCTGCCCCACGCCCCTGTCTGCAGCTGGCCCCACGTCCACTGGTGCCCTGCAGTTCCCAGGGCAGTAACCCTGCACACCTGCTTCAATGAAGGGGGCAGGGAGTAGCTGGGACCCACACATATGCACACTCTAGGGTGACCAGACAGCAAGTGTGAAAAATCAGGATGGGGGGGGGGGTAATAGGCGCCTATATAAGAAAAAGACCCCAAAATCGGGATTGTCCCTATAAAATCGGGACATCTGGTCACCCTAGCACACCCCCAGGGAGTGGCGGGGACCCACACATGTGAAACGGAGCTCATTTCTAGTTCAGGCCCATCTTTTTAAAAAAGAACTTTAGGCAGGGTTAACACACACCCGTATTTTCCCGGACAGGTCAGGCTTTTTGGTTCTTAAATCGCCGTCTGAGAGGAAAATATGGACGGGAAAATACGGACGTATGGTAACCCTACTGGTACAAAAAATACATATTGGGGCACATCCCTTACATCAGAACTTTTTATAGGGAACTGGTTGTTAAGATTTTGGGAGCTCATCACTGCACATCACCCTGTTCGGAGCCTACACATATAGTCAGGAAGTCACTCAACCCTTGTGTTGCTCAGACTCCACCTAGGATAACTGTAAGGGTAGGTCACATAGTTTCCTTGCAGGCTACCACTGAGTCTATTGGGGTGCTGACAAACAGTGTGGTTAGCACTCACGCCTCTGCAGACCAGAGAGCCACGTCTATGATATATCCAGGCTTGGAAGGATTGGATTTCACCGTACACACACAACTGACAAAAAATATTTCCATCAACAGCAATCAAAACGTACAGACAGACGAAGTTAGAAAAATGCTGCTTTGAGAACTTATTCCAGTTTGATTTCAGGATATTTACATTGTATATTTTGACATACGATCTTAACAATTTGTGTTTTAACAGTTACAAAGCTTTAACTTTTTGAATCTCCATTTCTGTCATGTATTATTTTCTGATTCCTCCCTTTGTCTGACCCCCACACCCTGGTGGTAAAGTCCTGCAAATGTAAAAATTAAAAATCAAGAAAAAAAATTAAAATCTATAATTTCCCACAATTGTGAACATTTAAATCAATATATTATTTTTTAAAAAAATGTTTAAACGTAAACATTGATATTATCTCTCAACACTATAAAAATAAAAATTGAATTCTGCCAAGCCTACATATATCTAATATGGACTTATCCATGGATAAGTCTGCTTAGTAAACAAAACTTTAATCACTGGGCAATTAAAATGTTAATGGCCACGCAGCTAGCAGAGATCCAGTCAAAATAATGAAGATTCATTTCTAACTTTTTAGGCATTCTTTCCATGGCAGCTGTCCCATGCATAGAAACATCTACACAGGTGTGAAATTTTGTATTCATGAGTTTTCCCTATGTTGTGGAACAGGTGACCCAAGTATCTTAAGACATTGCTATAATACTTAAAAACACAGCTGGATGGATGTTTTATCTTTTAGTTTTCAAGTTTCCAGGGGAAACTAAAATCTTCTCCTAGTCTATTATAAGCATATATATTTTTCAGACTTATCACTACCTGCAATTCAAAGTTAGAGGGGGATAGAAAATAGATTGGAATTCTGGACAGATCCATAACTATTGAATCACTTCCATGTCTCTGTAATAGTGCCTTACATCTATAACTATCTCCTAGGCACTATACCAATTATGTATATATAGACCTCACTTATCCCACACAGAAATGCAACAACTATTTAACAGGAACACTGTACAACAGCTTTTGATAAAGGAAGTGAAGGATGATATTGCCAGCTGAAAGTGCACAGGGAGAATTTAGGTGGATGGATTATTACATTGGAATCTAGCTAAGAATGATCAATACCTTTATTTTACAACTCATCCAGAAGACATCACTTCCACAAGCAAGGCTCTCGATGTTAGGAAATTGGCACAGTGCTGATCTAAGGTATGTCTACACTTTGAACTAGGGGGTGTAATTCACAGCTTGGGGAGACATACCCATGCTAGCTCTGATCCAGCGAGCCCACTAAAAATAGAGTGTAGCTGCAGGGGTGGGGGCAGCAGGAGGGACTAGCTGCCCTGAAGGTGTGTATGTACGTAGGGTGGCTAGCCCCTCCCACCTCTTGTGTCATGGTGGCTACATTCTATCTTTAAGCATGCTAGCTTGATCAGAGCAAGCATGGGTACATCTCTTCAAGCTGGAATTTTCACCCCCAGTTTGAAATGTAGACACACCCTTAGAAAAGTGCCTCTTCCTGAATCACTAGCTGCACTTCCTGATGTTTTCCTATCCAACAACTGACCAGGATGACATTGCTTAGTAGGCTGTGAGATATAACGGGGCCAAGGCCTGAACATGATACATTTGCAAACAAGAGGCTTGTATATATTTAGAGACTGCAAACCACTCTATATGAGCCAGGTTGCATTAACTTTCTGAACTGTTCACCTGGCCCCAAATACAGATATTAAACCTTTGCTACAGTTCTTAGAAACATTTTTCTATCTTCATAAACTTTGTGTTCCTTTTTAATATTTTTATTTTTTCTTGCTCAGCATTTTAATTCAACCCCTAACCACCCACATCTTCGAACACACACACACGCACACTTCAAATTCTCCTAACCCTAGTGATTTACATTTCCTTCAGGGTTTGTGTATGCATTTACAGAACGGGATTTCTGGTTTTATTTACTCAGTGTTTATGAGCTTGTAAATTTAGCACAAAAATCAAGATGGAGAAAGATTTGCAGCCAGCCAGTCACAAGAAAGTCTGAATTTAATTATTATAAACTCATCTAGAAACTTTTCTGCTGACTTGACTTCCTCCTACACTTATAGCTTTGACATGAGTTACCTGTGCAGTATCAAAGAATAGCACAGGACTATTTGTGACCATCTCTTTTCCAGTTTTTGCCCCAAAGGAGTTTCCTGTAGCATTACTAGGTATTTATATCATAGCAATATGTATCATTTTATGATGATGATGCAGCTGATTCACATCATCCACAAAAATTGGGACCATCTGAAGGAAGGGGATTTCTGATCAATGCAGTCATATAATGCCTGATCCAACAATCATTTAAGTCAACGGAGACATTCTTATAGACTCCCCCCCTCCCCCATTTATATTATAGTGCCTAGAGACGATAGCCAAGACCTGGGCCCCATTGTGCTAGGCCCTATGCAAAACATAATAAGAGATAGTCCCTATCCTGAAAAACCTACAATTTAAATAGACAAGACAGACAAAGTGGCCAGGGGTATGACAGACCAACATAAGAGATTCCCAGATCACTTTTCAACAGTGCGTCTTGGGCAACATTCCCCTTCTCACCAAATGCAGGCTCTCATGTCCTAGGGTATCGGTGTGGGTGTGCATGGTCTTAGAAATTAGAGACGGAAGTGCCCTATTTGGTCACTCAGTCCTTCCCACACAAGACTGTTTCATACAGAACATTTCCTAGTGCTTTATCTCATCTACTTCTAAAAAGACACAAGAGATGGAATTGCCACAGCTTCCCTCTAAGAACTATCCCACAAACTTTGATGAAGGCTGCTTCTGCATTAGTCTATTTGGTAACTGCGCTGCCAACTTGTAACTCATGGTGGGTCACCGTTGCTTAGATATTTAAATATACTGTACCACCAAGAGTTAAGCTTGCAATAGATTCTCTTTTAGTCATAGACTTTTATATTCAAAAAGTTTTCTTAAAGACTGTTTTCTTATTTCTAAAGGAGTGTCCTGGATTTCATTAGTATCATGATAAATATTTTT